AACACTGAGAAAAGGAGAAGAGCAGAAGGGTAAGTGGATGGCAGAGGAAAAGCAGTGAGGGAGAACTATGCCCCACTGTACTAGAGTAGTAAGAAAAATCTCCCAGAGGGTCTTTTACTCACCTGTTTTTTGACTGAATGAGCAAAGTCCAAAATCTCTGGGGTGTCAACCCATTGTCTTTGTAATGAAAACATGATTGCATTGAGGATAGCTCACTTTATCATCACCTTCTTTGAACAGAATCCAGTTGTGCTGTCTAAAGTGTGTTATCAGCCAGTTGCTACTAAAACTTCACCAGTGCTTTAATCTTTATGACTCTTCATTCTTAGCGGGCTCAGACCACACCCACTGCATGACCTGCTATTGCCTTTGAACTGTGAAGTGTAAGGGCTGCTTCTGCTAAATGCAATTAATTATAATCCAGTTTTGTGCAAATGATACATAAACTACACTTCTTGCCATGAGAATGTGATTCTAGTACTTTTTTAATTCAATTGAAAATCAATTTAAAACAAATTAAAAAAGAAGTTGCCTTTTTTCTGATTTTCATTGAAATAGTTCCATAGAAAATGTCCAGCAAACTCTATAATGATCAGATATACACAGAGGAGGACATTCCGTTAGCACACCCCTATGACTAGACAGGATGTTGCTACTAGAGAATTGTGATTCACCATCAAAGTAGTCTCTGATGAGATAACAGACAATTACGTGTTTTGTAAAGTTTTTTTAAAGTTAACTGTTATAGATAAGGTGTAATCTTTGTCTTCTAGGAAGTTTTGATACAAATGTTTACCAGGTTTTAAGGAAGGTGATGTGAATAATTTACAGCTATGCAATACAACTGACTATTTGGGTCACAGGAATAAGTTGTACAGAAAAATCACTGGAGAGGAACAATGGTTAGATGAAGTAATATATCTTCAGCTTTTAAGTATGTAATATCATGAAAACAAATCTGTTTCAGGAAGTCATATGGTCCTCTGAAAAGCTTTCAAATGTGGCTGTAAGTAAAGAATCCATGCAGTTAATGGTAATGTATTTCTGACAGCTTGACCACATTCAAGCTTTCTACAATAGCTTTCTATTGATGGATTTGCTTTTAGGTACTAGGATGTCTTTATATTATTCTTATATCAATGAAAAGCAAACAAACTACAAAGGAGGCTTGCTAGACTTCTAATTTTTTTTAATCAATAAAACACATGGAATATTTTTACAGGAAAAAGAAAATGCTGCGCAGAATGTTATGATTTTATTTAAAAAGATGTAAATCCCCTCTTATTCCTGTTAAGTGGTATACTTAACAATGGTACATTCTGATTCTCTGGCTCTGCTTTGATTTTTGAATAGGATCATCATCTATACAACAGTTAATCCAAGAAATTAAAACAATTAGATTATGTGGAATTCATTAGATGAGTGTGACCCTAACTCCAGCTTCTTGGTGCCAAGTGAGATGAAAACCCTTGGCTCTGGTGAATTCCCCTGACTCAGGCTCTGCAGAAGAGAAACATCATGCTCAGAATGACTCAGCACAGGATATGTAGGAAAGGGCTCAGGTAAGGCGTCAGGATAGGTGGGTTGTGTCTGTAGCAAAGGCTCATAATACAGACCTAGACTGACACCAGACAAGCACAGGAACATAAGCAGCAGCCCAGGGACATTGCTTTAATGTAGATGCTCTTTGCTAAGTCTTCTAAAATTACAGACGAGATCAGCAACCTCTAGAACAGCCTCAAATTGAAGCAGGAATCATGGTTTAAAGCTCTTTCTCCTTTCCTGAGAAGTTCTACACTATAGAAATGTAACTTGTCCATCCCCTCTAAGATTAGCTACTTCAGTGCTGAAATGAGGAACTGAGCTGAGCCAGACTCCCTCTGTTGCTTAAGCTCTAGTTATACATCCAATTTATTACTATTATTATTTTTACAGGCTTTTGTTTGAATGAAAAATGTTTTTTAGATATTAAAATCCTATTGCAACCCTAATGTGCTATTTTATAGGAACAAAGATTCCATGGTGTTCTGATATTTTTTGTTCCCGCCAATTTTCAGTGAGATGTTCCTGATGTTTGCAATATTGCTTTTGGTAGGCTTTTCTGTTGTATATAATTAAAAGCAGTAAAATACTGCTCTTGCAGTGCTGTGTGGAAAAGCTCTATGGATAAAAATAGTGATTTTACTAATTTAGCCTATATAAAAATAATGTGCTATAGTGCTATCCCCTTTACATACTTATATTTTAAATAGATATTATAAATGAAAATCTGATAATAAGACAGACGTGAAAACGGAGAAAGCATCATGACAAAGAAGAAAGCAGTGTGGTTATAGGAAGCTTATTACTATCTTTATAGTGCAAAGCAAGTCCAAAAAGAACAGAACATTGATCTCAAACATACTTTGCATTGATAAAATACTTATGTATTTTTGCATAGTCTTCATCTAGGGAAATAGTTCTACTGACTATATTTTTTCAATTAGGTTGATGCTTTAACATAAGACATGAAATGTCATCAGAAAAGTAAAAAGCTCTGGTTAACAGCTTATCGTAACTAAAAGTGAAACAATTAAACAAAACAAAAGTATGCTGCATAAAAATGATGTGTGGCTTGCACAACTTGTGAGTAATTTTATGAAGCCAGGAAAAATGACCTCATGGTTAACAAACTAGCTTAATAATAATAAATATAAGTATTTCCTCTGCTACCACAGACTTTCTATGTGTGCACGAGTGAGTCACTATTCCTTTCATAATTCTGTTCCTTTACAAAACCATAATAGGATAACAGCACTGCTATGCCTTTACAGTGATACTACAAGAAAAAAACCCTTTTTTATGATTTTGGGGTATTCAGATGCTACAGTGACATGTGCCATTTAAATCTTTCAAACAAATTGGCAAAATCAGGTATTTTCTTAAAATAAAACCTGCATCTTAAATGGGACTGAAAACAACCCTGCAAATATTAATTTAACTTCACCATTCAATAAAGGGATTTCTGCTGTCTTTTGAGGACTATTTAACTCACACAATGAATGAAGCAGGGATTCTATCCACAACTTCTCTACATCATTTTTTTGTTTCCATTCAAGTCTTCCTTCTGTGCTGAGAACCAGGACAAATCACCTTGAACCCCTCCAGACTGGGTGCGCTTTCAGGCGTGCAGATAAGCATCCCTCGGTGGCTTCCCGAGTCTCCACAAAGCACAGCCACCCACTGTGTTCCCACGGAGGGCTTTGCCCTCTCCTGAGTCATGCTGCTACCTTCAGCAGGCTGCTGTTATTAAATAACCACCTTTCCCACGGATGCAAGGAGAAAGTCCAAACACTTTCAAACTTAATCCTCCTTGCTGCATTCACAGAAGTCTCAGCCTTTCCCAGGAAAAGCTCTCTAATTTAGGAAGTAAGCAGAAGGGTCTTAAGAGTGACAGCATCTTCCCAACAATAAAACGCTTTCTGGGACACTTCCAGAGTTGTACTTGCCAGAATGTTCAAACCAATCTGTGGTCTCTTCTTAAAAAAAAAAAAAGTCTTTATAAAGTGTATTACCACTTTTTAAGCTATTACTATAAAGTCATTGCTTTTTCTTCATTTCAGTGACCAAGAAGAGAAACTAATTATCCTGGCTTCTTTGGCAAGGCAAAGGCTTTTCTGCAAACAAGTATGCCTTATAGCACTAACAGAATATCTCCTCAACATTTTCTGATCTTTTGGCAATCAGCACTGAGTCCTCTCATGCTGAGGCAACATTGCACTTTGTCACCACGCCTCCATTTTCTTTTGCTAATTTTGTGTTGCCACAAGTAATATTGGAAGCTCTTAAGGACAAGGCACAGCCCAAGAGCCCCAGAGACAAATGCTTGTGGAAGGAAGGCAAATGCATGAAAGAAAGGAGGAAGCTGAATATTCTAAATAGGTTTAAAGAAATCTTTTGCTATCTACATTTCAGTGTATTTTCACAGGAAGTTTTAATCTTTGACACAAAATAAACATAATTTGTTAAGTGCTTATTTAGTATGCAAATTCTTCATCGCTTTTGAAACTCTTAAGTAACAAAGGTGAAGCGTGATTTATAATATTAGAAGAAGCTTGCCAGTGCTGCGTTTCCTATCTGTGCTTTTCTGTAAATTTTAATTTTGTACAGTTTAAACTTATTGGATTAAATAGCTACACAATAAATTTACAGTGACAGTTTATGAAGCACCCTCCTGGCTACTCCAAGATATACAGCAAGAGTCAAACTTTCAGGGTACCTCTAAACAGCTTCTGCATAAATATGGACATTTCAATTTGCAGACACAATTGTGGCCCTGCTTATTTGAGTACAGTGTGCAATCAGATGGGCTTGAATGTTTTGTGCATACATCTTTAGGCCTGCCAAAAATCTGTTTCAAGTTCTAACATAACAGTTATGGAGTTTAATAGATCAATCCCTTATGGTCCACTTGACCATAAGAATCTCTTTCTTGGAGTATCCTGGATCTAGCTGGACACACTAAAATGAGCAGAAAGAGAAGTCCAAGGTATTTCAGTAATTTTCTCTCAAAATTCTGCAGGTGCTTCTATCTTCTGAATTGTCATTACATCAGTTACCATACAGTATTTGGTGCATTCTCAAAGTTTGCTTCTACTTCACAGACTGACAGTCTGCTCTCATAGAACTGACAGAAGAAGGAAATTTTGAAAATTATGCTTTTTCCTTTTGAAAACTGTAAGGTGATAAAAACGACTGATACCACTACATAAAAGATGACTTGTTGCATAATTTGGAATGAAAAATAATTCCAATACATAAGTATATAAAAACATGATTATGCATTTTCTGTATTAAAAAATGTTAGAATCTTTGAACTCGGTTACTCTCCAAAAATGAGTAGCACTTGAAAATATGTCCTTGAATATCACAAAAGGTAATAAGGCTGTTTATTCTTCCTTTGCATGATTCCTTTGCATGTGTGCTTGACTTGATTCTTCTTGTTCTGCTTCTTGTTTCATTAATGCACCAGAGTTTAGAAAACATTGTGACTGCTCTATGTATATTTAATTTATAATTTTACAGTAACAATTTTGAGGCAGACCTGAGCAAAAATTTTTGTGGATTTTTTTTTTCTCTTCATTTTTCCATTTTCTTCTTTAGTGGTCTCTTGAAAAATCCAGCCTGCAGAAAAGAAAAAAGTGACTAAGAACTTCTCAAAGCATACAACCCATCTTGGTTTGCTGGTTCTTACTACTATTTTAATACTTTCAGTACAGTAAAACTTCATTTAATATTTTATCACTAAATTACAACATTGTTTTTCCTAGAATGGAAAAAATAAAGATATGTCATTGAAACAGACAAAAAGAGTACATTAACATACAGTAAGCAATTGCTGAATCATTGTTTTGTTCACATAATGTCAGAGGCCAAACCACTTAATAATGTTTTGCACTCGTTTGAATAAATACTTCATTTTATGACTGTCATTTTTTTCAAGAGATTATGCATGTTGAAATTTATAAACTAACCTTCTGACTCAAGTATGAACTAAATATTTAGCTTGGAGAAGAGTGCCCACTTGTGGCAATACTTACGCCACAGGCCTAGCATCTCACACAGAGAGAATACCTGGTCATGAAAGGTTACAGTCAAAGCTAATAAAAGAATCCCTCAGTAAACCCTTAATAGTACTAAAATATTTTTATTTTTCTTTCCAAAACATACGGGCTGTATAGGTTGGTTAGCATTGCATATTACACATTTGAAAAATTTAGTGTTATTAGTTATTCTGTCATTTCTACAAGATTTCACTCTACTTACTAGGTAATACTAGTGTCCTTGAGGTTCAGAAGGACATGGCAGAGGATATAAGCATATTTGTTTATTTTCATGAAGACAAAAGCATGCAGCTTACCTTCCACAAAGCAAATATAAGCAGTGCAAGAATCAAGAGTCCTGCAAAGATACTCAGGAGAATAACCCATAAGGGGACTGTACCCGGTGGGAGCTCTTTGGAGATCTTAATCATGGTCTGCAAAGTGTTCAGAATATAAGCAATAAATAGTTTGTCCTTCTAAAACATCAGCAGAGCAGCATGACTTTTGTCAGTATGCAGTGATTTTCCAGGGTACCACTTCATTCTAAGTACAGGAATTTGTAGGACGGAATTGAGAAAATAATCTCCAGCATGAAACTCTATATTTATGTAACATCTTGCACTTTGCAAGTGCATTCATTTCACGAGGGTTGGCCCAGCTATAAGTTAGTAGTCATTGTTAAGATTCTAAACCAATTAAATGAAATAAGTGTAAAAGGCTATATAGATAGTAATTTGATTTTAAAGCAGGCATATTTAGTGTAAACTGAAATAGTCACACTTAAATAAGCAAGACCGTATAGAAATTCTAATTATTTTAACTTATGTATTTATTAGGGACACAACTTTATAGTTATTTATAGTTATATATATCCCTTTATAGCGATTTTGGTATCATCGTCTGACCAATTCTTACATTTCTACTGTAATATGAAATTCTTATTTAAAGTAGGGTAATATGTTACAACAGGTAACAATCAGATCACTAGTAATGAATGAAGAGGAATGATTCAGTTGCACAATAAATCCTATGAAGAGTAAATCCATGAATTATCATAATCTTCTTACCTCCAGTTTTTGATGGTCATTTCTCAAAATCAATGATGAGTTCTCACTTCTAAGTAATGCCTTCACAACAAGGGTTAAGCTGTGAATACTTGCCTGGAAGAAGAGAGGAATGGCTATGGTTTATAATTAGGTATTTTAAAGTAGAAAGCTTTGTGCAAATGAGAAGGGTGAAAGCAAAAGTTAATGCTAAAGTTTTATGCAGAAAAATGTGAAAATCGGTGAAGCTGCTCATGTGTGTCATCTTCAGCACACACAACACTGTTTGCAAGACAGCAACACATCTTTGAAAGAATAGAGAGCAGAGGTTTCAAAGAAATACTAATTAATTCTGAAATATTTGGCCCCAGGGACAGATTCAGGCTTTCTAAAATTCTGCTGTATCTCCCTTCCTGTCCTGTTATTTTCCAGAGAAAAACAGAGACACGAAACAGGAACTCAATGTCAGAAATTTAGCAACTGAGCAAAACAGACCACAGCCTGGTCATTGTTGTAACTCTCACAAAATACTGATGTGGGCTCTCTCTCCTCTGCTCTTTTTGATCAAAAAATCCTTTCTGGACTTGAGAAACCTTTCCAGATTAAAACCTACTTAAAAATATATATGCTTCTTTGTACCCCTCCTTACATCTGCTGAATTAGAATTTGTGTATGCTTAAGTAACTATTTAAAAAAGGATCATCAATACAGAATAAGTAAGGAGTGTCTTCTTACCATGTTTTAAAATTCCTGGTAAGTTCTAAGTACTTACTTTAAGGATAATAATGTGCATGTAATTTAGTTTTGAAGAAACTTTAAAATAACAAGAGAAATTATTTAAAACACTAGGGGACTGTGGAGACTTAACAAAAAAAAAGAAATTTCAATACACATTGGAAACATTGGCTTAATTTTCTCAAACCCAAGAGTATTCTTGAATGCAAATGTGATTTACTTACTTTTATGATGGTAGGTTTCCATACTCTTAACGAAACATTCACTTGATATATGTCAGATGAGACCAGGGCACAATGAATAGATGCACAGCTGTATGTATCACAGTCCTGTTTAAAAGGCACCAACATGAATTAATAGGAAGAGACATTTTACATTACTAAAATAAAAACATGTATACTACTATATATAAAGATCAAAGACTTGCTGTGACACCAGTACTAAACTGATATGAATTACTGTGGCTTTCTATGTAAAAATGACACTGCAGCATACAAAAAAGTTGAGATGTTCATGCTGTGGTAGAGTAGACTCAGTTTTTGAAGACTTGCTTAGCCTTGAGGAAGCTCTGTTTCTGTAGGCACACACCAAAAGGCACAGGCAGAGCTCCTCAAGGAGGCATGGCCTCTAACAGCAAGAGTTTCTCTGCCAGCACAGCTATGGCTTCTCCACAGTATTTAGATTCTTTCAAATCATGAGATGCCTGAACTTTTCAAGCAGGGCAGGACATCTGTGTGGAAAATTAAGTATCTTTACTTCCCAGTATCACTTCCTAGCTGGGAGGGCAGCAGAATGATGTTCAACACTTCAGAAACAGTTGCTTAGCCTAGACCTTTATCACCTCTGTGAAGGCTTATGATAAGCATGGCAAAACACTCTTCTGATGGCACAGTTTCATTTGCACCAGAAACTTGACTTATATCTCTCTACTGATGAGGCAGTATGATGGTTTTTTCCAGTGTGCCAACATAATTACAGCAGCAAAATTATTTTGCAACTCTTCCATCTAAATGTGAGAGGCTAAACCTTTCCAAATGGGATTGCCAGTTACATTTCTACCAGTAGCATAGAAAATTTGTCAGATTGGAGTGCTAGCATTTGAAAGTATTTTCAACTGGATGTCTAAAAAAGTTGCAAGGGAGATGAAGCTTTTATAATGTTACTATTTTTAATTACAATAGGAATATAGAAGGTAAAGATTTACTCAGCCATCTAATGTGCTACTCTTATTTATACATTTGCTAAATTTAAAATAAACGCCATCCCAAATTCAGTTCTCTATACAGTTTCGTAGCCAAATAAAAACTATAGCTAGTCTACATAAAGATGACTTTTCAGGCTCTTAAAATAAAGTAAGTTTCTATAGGATACAGTTTGAGAGAAGCTTTTATATATTTATTGCAGAAGTGCTCAGCTCAAAAATCTGGGTTAATATCTGGGATGAATATACATACTACATGTAGGCTTACCATAATTGTATCTTTTGTAGGTTCTTTTATTTTTGACAACACAAATGGTTTCCCAGTGCTGATCTTTAACGGATCTACAGGGTAACTAGTTTTGCAGATGGCATTCTGTTAGCAGAAAAAAAAAATATTCTTATTGTCTGAATATCCAATCTATTACAATAAAATGCTCTGGAAAGAAGCTAACATCAATAATATTTAATATTAACCACAATAATATTTTCTAACCACTAAATGCAATAAAACAGCATATTGCAAGAGTAGAGAGTAGGAATGTAGGATGGTGTAGGTATTGAAGTGTCATTATTCAAACAACAATTTTTATGAGATTATTTAACCTAAACTCTATCCAGCCACTTAAACATCTGCAGAAGCAAACAAGAGCTTCCTGAAAGATGACTACTTTGTGAACCAGCAAGAGCTGGCTATTAGGAGAGATAAATAGCTTTTGCACAGGAACCCAGAGGGCTTCTGCCTTAGCAAGCAGACAGGCAGGTTAAGTGCAAGATTCAGAAGCCCCTGCTGCAGCGCCCAGGGAGGGGGAGCAGGCGCTGGAGCACTGCCAGGCCTCCATGGCTCCTTCAATGGCAGCTGCCAAACCCTTCGGTGTCTTTTGTGCGTGGGAATTTGTTTTCTTCAGTCAGGTCATTCACTGTCAGATTGCTATCATGAATCACGAGGATTGCACATCCCCCGCAGAGCACTTTGGTACACTACACTAGGGAGTAACTAGTGGCAGATGAATTATACCCACAGAAAGAACACAGATTTCTTGAGATTATGTGCAAACTTGGGTCAAATGTGGTGATTGCCTAGAAATGAAAATAACGGGGGAAGGAATTTAAAAATTAAGACTATTTCTTTGTATTCTAAACATGAAATATTTTGGGGGTTTTGGATTTTTTTTTGTTTAAAGTGAACCTTGATCTTTCATTTAGATAATTGGATTTATTTTTCAGTGGTGCAGCACTTCAAAACTAAGTGAAATATTTTGAGAGAGGTGCTCATACGTGTGTGTCTCTGAGGGAAAGGTGAAAAAAAAAGGTTTAGGTCACCACTTATTGATATTTGAGTTCTTCAGCCATCCAGTTATTTATACAGCTCTACTTTTAATATCTACAGATCTGGAATCATCACATCAATTGTGATCTGCTCCAGCTGCTCTGGAGGAGTGAAATGGAAAAACTCAAATGAGGGCTGCAGTAAAGAGCATTTGAAAGACATGAGCTAACATCCCCTTCAAGATGTCTCAGTGACCCAGAAAAGGAAGATGCCAGAGGATTGCTAGTGCTGCAGGAAGGCTATTTTCAGTAACAGAAAGAAGAAGAATGAACAGGACATTGAGGTATAGATGTACATAGCAAAACCAGAGCATTTGCAGTAAGCATTGAGATAATGTAGATAATATGAGACTCAGAAGAGAAAATTAAGAGAGAAACTCATATCACTCATATCTCATATCTACCATATCACTTGGTAATGTATCAAATTAGCCTTGTTATAGTGCAATTATTGTTCAACACCATTTTAAATTTGCTTGTTTCCTTTTAAAAAAAATATCTCTGTCTTCTTATGCACATCTGTACATACACTTAAAACATCAGCATCTTGTCTTTTAGAGCAAAAAGCAAGATTCATCTTGAAGCAAGGCATCATCCCAAAATGTTTGTGTTTTGCAGCTCCTTGCAGCAAAAATTTCAACGTTAATCATAAAAATACGAATTCCTAGCTTACTTGGGAATGTGACAATGCAGTAAGGTAGAGAAGAGTATTCTTGGCTGCTGTTACATTGGGAAATAAGATCTGCAGCGTGAGGTTTGGCATTGGAAAGTGTTCACCTTTTTCAATCTACAAAAAAAAAAGACAAATGGTTTGATTAGTACCTTCCTTATTTTGCTGGTATTTGATTGTGGGGTTTTTTCCTTTCCTGTGGTTTTCTTTTTTTCTGTGTTTCTTAAAGTTCCATAGTCAGTTACACAAAAAGTGGTGTGATGAACTCTTACTTCTTCCCTGAGAACAGCCTGTTGTGAATAAGCAGACACATTCTTCTGTGGCCTTTGGTAACACAATGGTCTATTGAAGGAAATCAAATGAACAGGATGAAAGGGTCTGTTTTGACATAAATTTCTTCTTTTTATCTTGTTTACTGCATCCTTTTATCATTTAGGACTTCTACGTAAGGTAATTTCATTTCAACTTTTAATAATACCCCTAAAATGTTTTAACATGGAGAGGAGCCACTGTACCAGCAGTGGCTCCCGCTGCTTTCTCCTCAGGTGTGCTTAGGCAGCAGCCCTCCTACCCACCTGCTCCTCTCCCTGCTTTCCCTGAGAAGATCACAGGACACATCTGTGAGCTGCTGCTTGTTCTGAATATGCCTGCTGTGGCCAAGGATGGACAGAACATCTAGGTGGAACTAGTGGCAGGGGAATTGGTGATCCTGTCTCTGAAGTGTATGAGTTTAACAAGCCCTGAAGAACCTGTTTAGCGTTTTCCTTCTGACTACTCATTTGTGATAGGCTGCTTGCAGAGATGAGTTGCACTCACAACATCATAAATGGTGTGGCTCTGCAGACCACCAGCTTTTATATTCAGAAAGCAAAGATTCTGAAATAAGTAATGTCTTAAACATACACAAAAGCATCGAGATTACAGGATTTGAACTTTCAGCCTAAAAAAAGTAGCTGAGTAAAAACACTGCAAGTGGGCTAAAAATGTTCAAAAACCTTCACTATTGCTATTTAGTGCGAGTGAGAACTTTCTCATGGTGATTTTTTTATGGACAGAAAGTTGATTCAAAGACTTTTATCCTTTGTACATGAGACCCTTGTTCAGCTTTAGGTTTGACACTGATTAAACAAGTATGCTCTCAAGATTACTAAATTCAGTCCTACTGCAACCTGAGAACGGGCTTCTAGTCCATTAAATATATTTTCCAAGTAATTTTACTTCACAGCATTCCATTGGGAAGACAATGTTCTTGGATCATGGCATTTGCCTTCTTCAAAGCTGACTGGATTTTGGAAGTATCTGTTCTAAATCACAATGAACGTAGGTCAAGTTATTTACTAGGGCATGCTCTCTTTCCCCTGCTGAGGGAAGCTGCTCCAAACTGCACCCAAACTACTTTGCAGGGATGGACCATGCTGAGAAACCCTGACTTGCCTTATTGCAAAGCAAGCAAGCAAGCAAAAAAAAAAAAAGTGTTAAACATAAAATACCCATGTAGAACATTTAACATATCACATAGCTGCTATTAAGTAATAGGCTGTCACATTAAGTGATTCAAACCAAATGAAAAAGATGAAGCCAGTATCTATATCATGCAGTTTTAATTATTTCTTACCCTATAATGTAGAGTAACTTCATCCCCAATCTGCTCTGTTGTGTTAATAGCAGTAGGAACAGTATCATTTGCTGCAATTATAACATGGTGCTCTTTGAAAACACTGTGGGTTAAAAACAGAACAAAACAAAAGAACCCAATAAGCATTAAAACTTCATAAAACTTCTAGTATTTAATAATAATAATGATACAGGTGTTTTTATTATTTCATGAATCCTTCATAGCAAGTCTTGCAGTTAAGACTGCACTGCTACTTCCACTGAAGATAACTTTTCTGAGTAATGCTCACTTTTTGTTATGCACATCTCAAATGTTTTGTTCAGATTAAACTGCAAAATGAGAAAGCATTGTTCCCAAAAACAATACATGAGGGCCTGATTTTGCTGTTCTTATTCTAGCTATGCAGTCCCTTATCCTGAGTACTGCCATGTGAAACAGGCAGGGTCCTATAAAAGAAAGAATCAAGGAAAAAATGAACAAAACCTGCATGTTCTAAATTCAACTTTATTCCCTATGGCATGAAGGCTGGATTTGAACCATGAAATGCATGCAGAATTTACTTGACATAATTATTTACACCTGCACACCATGCAATGTATTCTACTGATAATATTAATAATGTTTTACAGGGATGGCATTTAACTGAATTGTAGCTATTTCTGAAAATAAAGTGTACTACAAGATCTTCATTGAAGTTTATGACTGAATTGATTAAAAAAACCTCTAAATCTCTGAGAATCTAAAATTAAGGCTAATTTTTGAAGATAGAAATCAGACACCATACCATGCAATATTATTGTGTTACAACTTATGGCCATTAGGAAACTGGAAGTATTTGCTGTCTTACGTACCTCAAACACCTTTGAATGAATAGAGCAAAGTACAAGAATCAAGAGAAGCTGCTGTTGTACTTGCAAACTGTAGATCAAATTTAGATGGATAAAATGGAGACACAGAAAGATAACAGCAGTAACAGCTCCATTATTTCATGTAACTGCTCTTTTCAATGTGCTTCCTGTTTGTGAGCCTAGAAGCCATCATCTGTAGACACTGAGAACAACTCAACAACAAAACAATACTATAGTCTCTTTGAACACCTGCTATTTATTCTGCTAGTAAGTAAAAGTACAGAAAAGAATCAATACCTTACAAATATTATTCCTACTTCATATTTTACTGGAATTGTTACGTGCCCTCTGTTGTCACGCAAGGTCTCAGGTGGTTCTTCACTATCACTAAAATAAGACAACATACGCCACTCAGATCAGACTGTGAAAATCATCTGCACACACAACATAACTCTTAGGTGGGACAGGATCTTAAGAAACTGAAATACCTACATCTCTGGGTATGAAAACACACTACTCATTTCCAGTTAATTACTATCTCCTAAAAATAAATTAAAAAGACTCTTTTCAGTAACTAAAAATTAAAGTCCTGCACCAGTCTCAGCTCAGATACATATCTTTTATAAAATTACAGACTGCAGTTGACTGAATTTAAATGGATCAAATAAGGGCTGCTAATCTCACATTATTCTGGGATTTTGCAGGGACGGCAAACACTGAGGGCAAATGCGTTCCTCTGCTCTATGATGACAACTTCTGCTATGCTTTTGCTCTTTGAAGGTCAGACCTTTTTGTTTAGCAAAAATGTGATTCATGCTAAAGTATGCAGTAATTTTGTAAGACAGTAAACCTTTTCTGCAGGTAAAACTACGGGAATTTATGACTCATTTGTTACTCTCAGGCTCCAGAGACAAATAGCAATTTATCTAGTCCACTTAGTCCACTGCTGGGCCAAGTACATCTGTAAAGCTGTCAGCTCTACAGATTGTTTAACCAGTTCTGAGTGCAGGAAAGTCATCCTTGTTTTGCTATGAAACACAAAGCTGTAGATCTTTCTAAGATAAAAAATCAGAAGGTAAACAAGTAATGACTGCAACTAACCTTGTTGCATATACATGGATAGTAGCATTTTCCAGGAGATATGATGCATTGAATTGGAATGATATTTTGAAGGAAATCTGTTCGGAGAAATACATTACAAATTTCAAAAGGAAAAAAAAACAACAAAAAAGCAGACTAATAAGTTTTGATCCGATGAAAAATGAGTAAATTTTTCCTACCTTTATCTGTGAAATCCTTAATTTTAAGACTTTCCTATGAATGAATCTACCTTTCCTATGAATGAATCTACCTTTTTAAATTTGTCCCCAACCAAGAAGGAAACCTAATAACTATCACTTATTAAAGACTAGCCTGAAATTTTCCGAACTGAGAAGTCTCAGTAAAACTTACTATATATCAGAAATACATAGCTAAATCTTTCTTAATAGAAATGAACTCATCTTGCAAGCAATTTATCAAAACCATGGTTTTTTCTCTAATGAGAAGCAAAAAAAGCTTCAAATCCTGGCTTCGAAGCCTCACAATTGCAGTGGAGATGAGTTTCCTATAGAAGGCTGCTGGAATCTTGCTTAATATGTAATAAAACATCTAGACTATAGAATAGAAATGTTAACAATATAAATAAATTACTATGAGGTCTCACAAAAATTCCATACTCATTACAACTATTCATCACAATTTGGAACTACACAAAATTTGGCAACAGTGTCCTAAATATGTCCTTTTTCATATCCTGACACTTAAGGGTAATTTTATACGAAGCAAAAGTTTTACTATTTGTTACTGTACAGGATTTTTCAGCCCAGAATTTTGTTTATCCTTTAATGCGTACAAATCCTTATTACAAAGTGACTCAGAGTAACTTGTCTTAGATATTTCTTCATATTAAAAAAAAATTAAGCCAGGAAGAGGCTTTAAAAAGGACTGTATTAGGGATGCTTATCAGTGCATCAGAGATTATTTGATTTCTGAATGCAAAGGAGAGTATGAAATTCCTAAATTTAGGGATCTGTAGCTACAGAAAAACTAACAAAGCATGAAAGGAAAATGTGAGAAATCCAGTAAGGCTGGGAAGGGCGGGAAGGGAGCATTGTGGGCAGTGACATCAGGCAGTATGCTTATTTGGCTGCAAGAAAGTAACAGCTGACTTAATTCCTGCAAGTTCAAGACACAAGCTGGAATGTGTGTGTAGAGGGCAATGTAACAGTACATCTCTCCTGATACTCCCTTCGCTATCCATCTGCATGACAAACAGACAAGAAACTGCCAGGAAAGAGAGCTGGTCTTATTTGCATGCAATTTGCTATTCCAAATTTGATATCAGGGCTATTTAAGTGAGGCTTAGATGTGTATTTTCAAGGGCTAAGTTTAGCTAAAGCTCCTTCATTATTACAGCAGGAGATACAGAGTTATCACTGGAGCCATTCAAGCTGGAGCTCAATATTAAGTGGATTGCTTGCTGGAAACGCCTCTTACTCCCCACTAGGCAGAGGCAAAGTCTTCATGCCTGGTTTTGGCAGATCCAGATTAGGATTTCCACATACCAGTTTTCTCTCTTTTCAACCATCCAATTAAATTTTATATACAAAATAACTAAAGTCATAGGCTCTAATCTGTGGAAGGCCACCGTATCTAATGCCTTATTAAGATATCCTACCCAATATCCTGTACTTCTGGAGACAGACCCTTCTGGCCAGGTGTGCCACTTGCCTTCTGTCAGCACCAATGATGGCAATGTGCACTTTTTACCTCCTCACATACCACAGCTGACTGCTCAGGAACCAAAGACCTGATGTTCTCCTAATTGACTTAATGCAGTTCATATCAAGGGTAGCTTGTGAAACACATATAGACAGGTTTTGGGGTCAATACAACAAAAAAGAAATTCAGAGCCAACAGGGACTGCTCTGGCCTTAGAATGACATGAAGCAAGGGGAAATTGCATGCTCAGGAACTCTTTACCTCTTCTGCAGGTTTTAGAAATGGGTATCCCACTTTACAGGTGATGTTGTAGTTAGATTCACAACTATCTTTCTGTATATCCTAAACGAAAAAGAAAGTGAAATCATGTCCTTGTGCAAACTCTCTTTAAATTTTGACTAAGCATCAAGGGCCTGTTGAAATTAGATGCCATTGCTACTCTTCGTTGTCAAAACATCATAAGAGTCAAAGCCTTAATTAAACTGGAACAAAAATAGGAAGCCACAACTTCTGCAAAACGATTTCCAACTATAAACATCTACATCAATTAGTAGCTATTATTCCCTATTAGTGAAAGCATTTGGAACATTAGTAATTATATACAAACTGGACACAACGCAAATTAGTCATGAGGTCTAGCAGATCAACATATGTTTAAGTACACAACTTTTACATGTGATTTTGTAAACGTGTTCCTAACGTGGTAGTTAAACTGACATTTATACTCCATAAGTTATTGCCACAGAGTCAGCAACAGTGGTGTGGACCCCTGAATTCTCCTAACATGCAACATCAGGACTGCTGATTGAAAATAAACTTCTCCTAATGTTTCCCACATGAACTAAGGTGAATTTGTAGCATATCTAATGAGGCAGACATCAAAACATAAGCACAGCCTGAGGCATGGATGAGGCAGCCACTGATCTATGCTGTACTACCAAGACCATGCTTTTCTTATACACGTGCAAAAGGACAATTCTAGAGGCTCGGGAGCTGTACTGATGAATAATGAGGCATTTCTGGCTCTACAGATGTACAGATTACTCATGGTGCTGACAGTCACCTAAGATGTAGGCATTTAGTGTCTAAGTGTTATTATGAAACTTGGAGCCTAGGCAAGAGTTCACTCAGGTCAAAAGAAATGCACTCTTTAAAAGAGATAAGCAAGGACAGTGCTCCCAGGGAAACTTTTCCTATCAACTGAGATGATGCCAGAGCAGTGAAATTCAGGCTTGATACAAAGACTTCCTCAGATCTTCCTAGCAACAAAGGTCATGATAAATGCAATAATGTGAAAAATTCCTACCTCAATGCCAGCAAAAATAATATTTGGAGAATACTGAACCAAAACTCTGGTATTATAGGCACTATCTTTTTTGTTCTTCACAGAGAGCTGGATGGTGAACTTATCATTGCGTGTTTTTACAATGAATGGAGAAGAGCTGCAAAATAAAGTAATAATGTTGGATATCTTAATTTTTCAATCTGTCTTTAACATAAAGAGGAACTTCTTTCAGTGTCCAGATTATATTGTGTCTGATTTGAAAATTATGTCAGTTATCTTATTAGACTACAGAATTCATAATGAAAATAGAAATTTTGCACAGATACCAAGTGATACAATAAGCCCAGTGTAGTTACCTGTCTCCAGCTATGCTTGCTTTTACATTCAGAACAAGATCTGAAATGCATTTATTTTTGGCTCCACAATCTTTTGTGAAAGGAATCTGCAACAATAGTATTTTTATTCTCAACTTTATTACAGTTATTAGTAAAATTAAATACTTGCATTTTAATTCATTATCTAATTTTATATAAGCCCTTCTGTCTGACAATCAAAGAAAGCTGCCCTAATATTAATCAGTTAAACATGCCAATATCCTCTAAAATGCACAAGTGAAACATAACCTTTCTATTCATTCCCTTCTAAGTGATTCATCTAGATTAGAAAAAGAGGCAATAGTAGAAGTATGAATAATGACAAGGCCCATACAAGTCTATGACTAGAACTGCCCTGCTCTATCTATGCAAAGAAACAACAATAAAATAGTGTGTACTCTCTTCTATTTTCAGTTAACTCTGGACAGCTTTAAAGCCCCAGGCTGTTTCTCAGGCACACTGAATCAAGTTTTCACTCCTGAAGATTCATTTAGAGGAAACATCTGGACAGACTCAACAACCCACCCTCTTTAGCCAATTTTTGGACAATACTTTCAGCTTTTGTGTGGGTTATGAATTTTACTTTACATATTTTGGTTAGTAGTACAGAATCATATTGACTTACATATTCAGATATTGAATTTGGCAGGTTGCTATCAAGAACAGGTCCACTCTCTGGATCAGAAAAATTGAACTCCAGCAAAACCTTTACAGAGTCCTGAAAGTCAGGCTTATCCTAAAACATAAATAAAACAAAATTGCTGTTATTGATATTCACTTTAATATCTAAGGAGGTTAAAAAAACCAAACAATGATGAGGTAAAATATTTTTCAGTCACACTGTCACCATCCTTGCTAGAGAAGTATTTGCATGCTTGCAATTGATGATAAAGCATTTAAACTGCAAGCCAGTGCTTACAAATATCTACTAATCTTCTTGTGTATCTCATAATATCATAAAAATGTCACATAGCCTGAGCATATCCAACATAGTTTCATTTAAGAATGCCTTGGAATGGTCAACTTATAGACTCTGCTCTTTTAATTGTGCTTAGAGGATCAGTAAGATGAACAATAGAGATATCACCTTGGATGACGTCAAACTGAGGTCTGCAGTTAGATGTATTGCATATTCAAGCAAATTCTAGACATCATTTATTATTAGTTTTGAATTATGATACAACATATCCAAATTTTTAACTGCGATAGCTGCTTAGTTCTGCGAATTATGGTATGCTCTTTCTTAGGACAGACACAAAAAAAGAGATTAGGGTAAATTTCACTTTAAATGATTTACTTGCCAACATGTAGAAGTTATGTTTAATACATTCTGACCCTTTGATAGTTATATTTTTTTGTATTTTCCTCTCATGGCTTTCTGTGAACAAGCTTCGAGATATTTGTCTTTGTGAGTCGAGAGTAATCCAGTACTGCAGACCTGCAAAGGAAGTTGAGATCAATATGATGAACCTATTTGCTTCTACATATTCTTTCCTCCCCCCAGTATCTTAAATGCACTTTGAGTAGTGACTGTAAAAGACGTGCATTCCATTTTCAGAGCTATAAATGAATGCGAGCATAGCAGGCTTATAGTGTAAAGATTGCAGAGCATAGTGCTTATATACTTACTAGATTCAAATATATCTTCCTTTGACTTTAGTCTTGTCTTGAAACAAATTGTAGCATTTATGCATATTGTCTTTCTTTTATTTATTTGACAATTTTGTTGTTGGATATTGATGCTTTTGGGTGTGAACTGCATGGAAACATTTACTTCAGCCACATCACGAGACCTTAACAAAAACACAAAAGAGAAAGTACCTTGAAAATTATAGCAGCAACTTTTCTTAACTTAAGGATGAACTTACAAAATGTGGATGTTCAACATCAAAAAACACGTATGTAATGGTCTAGACAAATAAATAACTGTAAACTCTATACAGCACCAGTAAACAACAAATTGAAGACAAAATGGTCACAGGGTTTCTCCACAGTGTTGTGCTTTTTTTCAGAACAGAAACAAGATGAAAGGAAATAATTTCAAAAGCATTTAAGCATCTCTACACAGTCTCATTTTAAAAGAGACCAAAGACCCAGACCCTTCCTTGAGAGTATCCACAGATGAACATATCACTATACATGAGCTGGAGGGTAGTGTGCCACCTCTTTGGCTGTGGGTAGATAAACAGGCTGAGATTCACTACCAATTTGCTTCACTTCAACTCCCCTTTGCCCTCTGTCCTTGCAATGCATT